TGTACGGTAGCACGACTTCCCGCAGGGGCCGTGTACGGTAGCACGACTCCCGCAGGGCCGTGTACGGTAGCACGACTCCCGCAGGGCCGTGTACGTAGCACACTCCCGCAGGCCGTGTACGGTAGCACGACCTCCCGCAGGGCCGTGTACGTAGCACGACTCCGCAGGGCCGTGCACGGTAGCACAGACTCCCGCAGGGCCGTGCACGGTAGCACGACTCCCGCAGGGCCCGTGCACGGTAGCACGACTCCCGCAGGGCCGTGACGGTAGCACGACTCCCGCAGGGCCGTGTACGGTACACGACTCCCGCAGGCCGTGTACTGTAGCACGACTCCCGCAGGGCCGTGTACGGTAGCACGACTCCCGCAGGGCCGTGTACGGTAGCACGACTCCCGCAGGGCCGTGTACGGTAGCACGACTCCCGCAGGGCCGTGTACGGTAGCACGACTCCCGCAGGGCCGTGTACGGTAGCACGACTCCCGCAGGGCCGTGTACGGTAAGCACGACTCCCGCAGGGCCGTGTACGGTAGCACCACACTCCCGCAGGGCCGTACGGTACACCACACTCCGCAGGGCCGTGTACGGTAGCACCACACTCCCGCAGGGCCGTGTACGGTAGCACCACACTCCCGCAGGCCGTGTACGGTAGCACACATCCCGCAGGGGGCCGTATACGGTAGCACCACACTCCCGCAGGACCGTGTACGGTAGCACCACACTCCCGCAGGACCGTGTACGGTAGCACCACACTCCCGCAGGACCGTGTACGGTAGCACCACACTCCCGCAGGACCGTGTACGGTAGCACCACACTCCCGCAGGACCGTGTACGGTAGCACGACTCCCCAGGACCGTGCACGGCAGCACGACTTCCACAGGACAGTGTACAGTACAACGACTCCCGCAGGACCGCGTACGGTAGCACCACACTCCCGCAGGACCGCGTACGGTAGCACCACACTCCCGCAGGACCGTGTACGGTAGCACCACACTCCCACAGGACCGTGTACAGTAGCACCACACTCCCGCAGGACCGTGTACGGTAGCACCACACTCCCGCAGGACCGTGCACGGTAGCACGACTCCCCAGGACCGGCCAGCAGCTCCCCAGGACAGTGTACAGTAGCATGACTCCCGCAGGACCGTGTACGTTAGCACCACACTCCCGCAGGACCGTGCACGGTAGCACGACTCCCCAGGACCGTGCCAGCAGACCGTCCCACAGGAAATGACAGTAGCATGACTCCCGCAGGACCGCGTACGGTAGCACCACACTCCCTCAGGACCGTGTGCGGTAGCACCACACTCCCGCAGGACCGTGTACGGTAGCACCACACTCAGGCAGGACCGTGCATGGTAGCACCGCACTCCCGCAGGACCGTGTACGTTAGCACCACACTCCCGCAGGACCGTGTACGGTAGCACGACTCCCGCAGGACCGTGTACGGCAGCACCACACTCCCGCAGGACCGTGTACGGTACACGACACCCACAATACGTGCACAGCGCAGATCCACGACGTGTACAGTAGCATGACTCCCGCAGGACCGTACGGATAGCACACACTCCCGCAGGACCGTGTACGGTAGCACCACACTCCCGCAGGACCGTGTACGGTAGCACCGCACTCCCGCAGGACCGTGCACGGTAGCACGACTCCCCAGGACCGTGCACAGCAGCACGACTCCCACAGGACAGTGTACAGTAGCATGACTCCCGCAGGACCGTGTACGGTAGCACCACACTCCCGCAGGACCGTGTACGGTAGCACCACACTCCCGCAGGACCGTGTACGGTAGCACCGCACTCCTGCAGGACCGTGCACGTAGCACGACTCCAACGTGCACAGCAGCACGACTCCCACAGGCAGTGTACAGTCAGCTCCGAGACCGTGACGGTAGCACCACACTCCCGCAGGACCGTGTACGGTAGCACCACTCCCGCAGGACCGTGTACGGTAGCACCGCACTCCCGCAGGACCGTGCACGGTAGCACGACTCCCCAGGACCGTGCACAGCAGCACGACTCCCACAGGACAGTGTACAGTAGCATGACTCCCGCAGGACCGTGTACGGTAGCACCACACTCCCGCAGGACTGTGTACGGTAGCACCACACTCCCGCAGGACCGTGTACGGTAGCACCGCACTCCTGCAGGACCGTGCACGGTAGCACGACTCCCCAGGACCGTGCACAGCAGCACGACTCCCACAGGACAGTGTACAGTAGCATGACTCCCGCAGGACCGTGTACGGTAGCACCACACTCCCGCAGGACCGTGTACGGTAGCACCACACTCCCGCAGGACCGTGTACGGTAGCACCACACCCGCAGGACCGTGTACGGTAGCACGACTCCCCAGGACCGTGTACGGTACCACCACACTCCCGCAGGACCGTGTACGGTAGCACGACTCCCCAGGACCGTGTACGGTAGCACGACTCCCCAGGACCGTGTACGGTAGCACGACTCCCCAGGACCGTGTACGGTAGCACCACACTCCCGCAGGACCGTGGACGGTAGCACGACTCCCCAGGACCGTGTACGGTAGCACGACTCCCCAGGACCGTGTACGGTAGCACGACTCCCCAGGACCGTGCACGGTAGCACGACTCTCCAGGACCGTGCACAGCAGCACGACTCCCACAGGACAGTGTACAGTAGCATGACTCCCGCAGGACCGTGTACGGTAGCACCACACTCCCGCAGGACCGTGTACGGTAGCACCACACTCCCGCAGGACCGTGTACGGTAGCACCACACTCCCGCAGGACCGTGTACGGTAGCACGACTCCCCAGGACCGTGTACGGTAGCACGACTCCCCAGGACCGTGTACAGTAGCACGACTCCCCAGGACCGTGTACGGTAGCACTCCCTTCCTCCACGCACGCACACACTTGTTTGGAATGAGACAATATCTTACAATAATGTTACAAAGCTGAGCCATTTTGCAGGGATAGATTTCTAAGTAACAGGAACGAAAGGAAAAACATTTTTTGACCCCCTTCCTTCTACCCTTTCCACCCCTTCCTTCCCCCCCTCCCACCGGTACATGAACCTCCCGTGTCCCATCTATGGACACCTTAGCGGTACTTAAACCACTTGTTGTACTAGACACTAATTTCCCTCAAATAAAATAATCACATTTATCCATGATCCTCAAAATCAGGGATTTATTGACAGGTGTCAGTGTTGCCAGCTCTCTGATGTTCCGCCATCCAAGCCAGCACTACATATTCTAATAAATATATGACTTTTCTTTCGCCAAAAAGTATTTTTATTTTATTTTAATGAAAAATCCGGATTATGTAAATTAATTACTCTGTTTGTGTGTTGTGAGAAGATCAAAGCTTCAGTTTAAATTTTCTTGATAAAAATATGTTTAAAAACTGGATTATTCTGTTCAGTGAAGACGTGTGTGTGTGTGTGTGTGTGTGTGTGTGTGTGTGTGTGTGTGTGTGTGTGTGTGTGTGTGTGTGTGTGTGTGTGTGTGTGTGTGCGTGTGTGTGCGCGCCTAATTGTGGTTGTAGGGATCCTGGCCCCGCCTCTTCACTGACCGCTACTGGGTCCTCCCTTTCCCTGCTCCATGAGCTTTATCATACCTCGTCTTAAAACTATGTATAGCTCCTGCCTCCACTACATCGCTTACCAGACTGTTCCACTTCCTAACAACTCTCTGGCTGAAGAAATACTTCCTAACATCCCTTTGACTCATCTGAGTCTTCAGCTTCCAATTGTGAACCCTTGTTTGTGTGTGTGTGTGTACTCACCTAATTCACCTAATTGTGGTTGCAGGGGTCGAGACTCAACTCCTGGACCCGCCTCTTCACTGATTGCTACTAGGTCCTCTCTCTCTCTCTCTCTCTCTCTCTCTCTCCTCCTCTCTCTCTCTTCTCTCTCTCTTCTCTCTCTCTCTCTCTCTCTCTCTCTCTCTCTCTCTCTCTCTCTCTCTCTCTGCTTCCTGAGCTTTATCATACCTCTTCTTAAAACTATGTATGGTTCCTGCCTCCACTACTTCACTTGCTAGGCTGTTCCACTTCCTGACGACTCTATGACTCAAGAAATACTTCCTAACGTCCCTGTGACTCGTCTGAGTCTTCAGCTTCCAGTTGTGACCCCTTGTTCCTGTGTCCCCTCTCTGAAACATCCTATCTCTGTCCACCTTATCTATTCCCCGCAGTATCTTGTATGTCGTTATCATGTCTCCCCTGACCCTTCTGTCCTTCAGTGTCGTCAGTCCGATTTCCCTCAACCTTCCCTCGTACGACATTCCCCTGAGCTCTGGGACTAGCCTTGTTGCAAACCTGTGTGTGTGTGTGTGTGTGTGTGTGTGTGTGTGTGTGTGTGTGTGTGTTTTCTTTAGCAACATCTCTGGGTCAAGGATGCCAGGGTAACAAACAGAGCTCTCCTGCCCTCTATAAACACATGGGCTGGTTCGAAGTTCCCTTACAATAGTGAGTGTTGGGTGAGGGCGGGACGGGAAGGTGGTGAGCACTAGTGACTGATGCTACCTGTCCTTCCCTATTTGTTCCTCCTCACCACCAATCTTCCCAGGCAAACATTAGTTTTTACTGTGACTTAATACCGACAGTAAAGTCACGTGTTTCATCAAAATAACAATATTGAGATGATAATCTCGTGCTTTTCAGTCTCTTACTACATCACTGTCTTCTGTTTGCACTTCAGAAATTATTGTGGTATGTATTATTGAATTTATTTGTTTTAATGTGCTTTGTAACAGCCTAAATTTGGTTAATTGATGCTAACGTTATCTAACTTAAATACGAGATAGAGAAATGACTTTCTTTCGAGCACATGAAGTAAAAAGCCGGTTCTAGTGTTAGGACAGACATGCCTGGGTAATGTTACCTGGCTCTTACCTGACCAGTACCTGTATACTAGATACGTCCACAACACAAATAATTAACGCCAAACGTTTGCCCCTCAATTATGTATTACAACGTAGGAAACACGGTAATTAAGCACTCTTAAGTCACTTACCTCTTATTTTGGTCTGTTTATTAGGTAGGTACGAGCTGGGGTAACCGCAAGAGATAATATCTAAGATTACTATCAGACGCTGTACTTCCTCACAGGTGATACTATCAGACGCTGTACTTCCTCACAGGTGATGCTGACGGCTGATCGAACCCTTGTGACCCTTCCAGGGGTGTCTAGCGCACTGCTTACCTGAAAACAAGACAGTAAAATTAATATCTTGCGTTAGTGAAACAACTGTATGGCGCTTAATCTAAGACTTATTTTTATGACGTCCATATGAAGGAATGCGAGACTGAGTTCACAGATAATACGAGGCACAATGTCGTGGCTAAAACAAATCACGACTCACGAAATCCTAATAACACGATTTCAAACTATCCACGGACCGAGTGGCTTTCGCACTGGCCTGGAGTTTTACGACTCACTCGCCATAGGTTCAAGCCCAACCGGTTTTGTGGTTTATTTAAAAGAAATCACATTAATAGTACATATCTGAAATAAAGACAAAAACCTTTCAGTCCGTCGTGTACCATTATTAAGTAGTGACTTGATAATGGCCCAGAACGAACCGAAAAGCCACGTTTTCATCTCAAATTTATTTGTTAGTAGTGCGTTTTGAATTCACATTATTCAGAAGAATCTTTCTACTTTACATCAACTTTAAAGATCTGGTTACGTAGTTTCTTCACGTTTCCCTGTCTACCATCAGTGAAATATATTTTGTTATAATCAGGGTGATTTTTCACGCATTGTTTGAATTCAGTTAACACCATTTGAATATACGCCCTACATGTGCGGCAAAACGATCGTTCCTGAATAAGTCAAATCGACAAATTCTCAGTAAAAAGGAGAAGTGAAGAATCAGGCTTGTTAGGAGCAGCTGACTCGACCTCAGGACCTCACACCATCGTTAAGAACTGAATGAAAGACTGTGTAAAGTGTTTACCATAACGATCAACACATTCTGTGGTGAGAAACTTACACCTGCATTACCACACCTGCATCACCACATCTGCATCATCACCACACCTGCACCACCACTCAAGAACCATTAAAATCTGACATTTGCTTGAATGCATCATTTATAAATTTTACACCTCTTGAAACTCCTTTACCAAGTGAACTGCTTCCCAAAAATGATTGAACGCCAAAATGTTTTGATAAATACAAATTCAGTTCTACCTACTGGCAGATTATTTCAGATTTTTGAGAGAGAGAGAGAGAGAGAGAGAGAGATTTACGTGACATTATTGTGGCACCATAGCTAGGTGTTAAGGGCCACCCTTGAATCAAGTGCTTTCATAGCTGAGACTTCAGTGAGAGGTGGGAGTGTGTTGTTCTTGTGGAGGGGTAAGTGCGTTTTTTTTTGTGTGGGCGCACACGCTCACCTATTTGTGATTGCAGGGGTCGAGTCACAACTTCTGGCCCCGCCTCTTCGCTGGTCGTTACTAGGTCCACTCTCTCCCTGCTCCATGAGTTTTATCGTATCTTCTTAAAGCTGTGTATGGATCCTGCCTCCACTACATCACTCTCCAGATTGTTCCACTTCCTGACAACTCTGACTGAATATATGCTTCCTAACATCCCTGTGATTCAACCGAGTCTTCAACTTCCAGTTGTGACTCCTTGTTGCTGTGTCCCATCTCAAACATCCTGTCCTTATCCACCTTGTCAGTTCCTCTCAGCTTTTTATATGTTATCATGTGTCCCTTATCCCTCCTGTCCTTCAGTGTTGTCAGGTTGATTTCCCTTAACCTCTCCTCGTAGAACATACACCTTACTCCAGGAAAATTTTTTTCTCGTTAAAAACCTTTTTCACTCTCTCTAATTTTTTTGACGTTTTTGGCCCAGGTGGGGGGTTTCCATCCCTGGTGCTGCATTTTCCAATATGTGCCTGACGTCACAGTGTACTGTTTCTTAAAATGGCCCCCTTACTTAGATTTTAAAAAACGCTTTTCCCTTGGGTTTTTGCCGGGCGCCCTTTATGTTTGAAAGCAGTTTTTTGGGTTGATGTCGCCCGGGAGTGCTGGGTATGATGTTCACCCCAAGATTTTTTTCCCCTCAAGTAAAATTTTCCCAACCTTTGCCCTGGGTTTACTCCGTCTGCAGTTGCACTTGCTGGGGAAACCCCCTTTAAATTAAATATGTTGCCTTTCCTTGGGGGGTTTTTTGCATACGTGTGGGGGGTTTTTGAGGTGTTGTGTGTTTGATTTACAAGGAGTGGGGCTGTCCCTTTAAAGAGAAAGGGTGGCAGGTAAACACACCCAAAACCCCCTTTTAAAATTTGAAAATTTAAGGGGCAAAATGTTCATTCTACACATTACGTAAAACACACACACACAAAACAAATAAAGCTCTTGGAGCAGGGACGTGCGAAGGGGGGGCCCCAGGAGCTGAGACTCGATCCCTGAAACTAAAAATGGGCGAATATAAAAAAAAAAGGGGGACTGCACGAAACAACAAAAAAAAGGGGGTAAAGGAATTTTCCCAAGGGTGCCTATCGAAAAGTCCCTTTTGACAACTAGTAACTAATAGTATTTTGGTAAACCCCGACGCCCACCTTCAAGGGGTCCTCAAGAGCCACCACTTTCATGACTTCCCCTAAATTTGGTAGTTTGGGTCAGTACTGTCCATCCCTGGGGGGTATTTTGCCCTGGATAACCCCTCGAGTGTTTCTGCAGTGGGATTTATCCTGCCCCGTGTAACTGGTAGATGGTTCGCTCCCCCCTTTTTCCAGGTGTTGTGTGAACCTCAAAAAACTGGCCTCCTCCCATCTAAATTCATTCAAATTTTAAAAATGGGTGTCATGTATAGCAAAATTTTTTTTTTTGATGTAATCCCCTGGGAAAGTGGTAAAAGGCCCTTTGGGGTCACATGGCACCCCTTTGGGAAAAGGAAAGTAACTTTAGTTATCCTAAAAAATGGGGAAAGAAGTTTACAGGTTTCCCGAAATTTAATAAAGGGCTTTCCCAGCATCAGGGAAAACCCTTTCCCAAACATCATCACTTTTCCCCCAAAATCAAGGCACCTTTCCCCCGCATCAAAAAACCTTTCCCCAATAAAAGGCCCCCTTCCCCCCCGCATGAAAAACAAACCTTTCCCCCAAAATCAAGGCACCTTCCCCCCGCTCAGGGGAAACCCGCCCCCGCATTTAAACCTTTTCAGCACAAAAAATAAACCCTCCAAAAAACAAAAAACCTCCCCCCCAACAAGACAAACCCTTTCCCCCAAAATCAAAGACCTTCCCATAATCAAGGCACCCCCCCCCCAGCAACCCCCAAAACACTTTTCCCCCCTTCAACACACCTTTCCCCAACACAAGAAAACCTCTCTTTTCCCTGAAAAGAAATTTCTCTCACTGTTTTCCGCAGCTAAGGTTCTTCATCTTATGAAGGGAAACCCGGTTTGGGGGTGCTTTGACTTTCCAAGCTTTTTTCCCCACCCCCAAAAAAATAAGGGTTACATGTTTTTTCGCTACTTACTTTTTAACAATTTGTCCCCATAAAAATTTGATAAATATTCAAAAAAATTTTTTTTTGCGCCGGAATATGATGCGGGCTCATACCTTTACGCATATCTCATTTTGGTATAACCTTATTAACATGAAAACAGAATTTTTTTTACGTATGTATTTAAAAGTTATTTAAAAATTGGGCGTATTTTCCCTAAAAGTTTTATCTTTTATTCAAGACCCCTTTTTGGCGGTAATGGTGTCCCAGGTTCCCCGGCGAAAGGTCACGTAGTATATAAATAATATATATATATATATATATATATATATATATATATATATATATTTTTTTTTTTCAACAAGTCGGCCGTCTCCCCCGACCCAGGGTGCCCAAAAAAGAAAGAAAATCCCCAAAAAGAAAATACTTTCATCATCATTCAACACTTTCACCCACACTCGCACATTATCACGTTTTTTGCAGAGGTGCTCAGAATTCAACAGTCTAGAAGCATACACAATAAAGATACACAACATATCCCTCCCCAAACTGCCAATATCCCAAACCCTCCTTTAAAGTGCAGGCATTGTACTTCCCATTTCCAAGACTCAAGTCCGACTATATAAAATAACCGGTTTCCCTGAATCCCTTCACTAAAATATTACCCGCTCACAACTCCAACAGATCGTCAGGTCCCAAGTACCATTCGTCTCCATTCACTCCTATCTAACACGCTCACGCACGCTTGCTGGAAGTCCAAGCCTCGCCCACAAAACCTCCTTTACCCCCTCTCTCCAACCCCTTTTGAGGACGACCCCTACCCCGCTTCCTTCCCCTATAGATTTATATGCTTTCCATGTCATTCTACTTTGATCCATTCTCTCTAAATGACCCAAACCACCTCAACAACCCCTCTTCTGCCCTCTGACTAATACTTTTATTAACTCCCCACCTTCTCCTAATTTCCCCACTCCGAATTTTCTGCATAATATTTACACCACACATTGCCCTTAAACAGGACATCTCCACTGCCTCTAACCGTCTCCTCGCTGCTGCATTTACCACCCAAGCTTCACACCCATATAAAAGTGTTGGTACTACTATACTTTCATACATTCCCTTCTTTGCCTCCATAGATAACGTTTTTTGACTCCACATATACCTCAACGCACCACTCACCTTTTTTCCCTCATCAATTCTATGATTAACCTCATCCTTCATAAATCCATCCGCCGACACGTCAACTCCCAAGTATCTGAAAACATTCACTTCTTCCATACTCCTCCTCCCCAATTTGATATCCAATTTTTCTTTATCTAAATCATTTGACACCCTCATCACCTTACTCTTTTCTATGTTCACTTTCAGCTTTCTACCTTTACACACATTCCCAAACTCATCCACTAACCTTGCAATTTTTCTTTAGAATCTCCCATAAGCACAGTATCATCAGCAAAAAGTAACTGTGTCAATTCCCATTTTGAATTTGATTCCCCAAAATTTAATCCCACCCCTCTCCCGAACACCCTAGCATTTACTTCCTTTACAACCCCATCTATAAATATATTAAACAACCATGGTGACATTACACATCCCTGTCTAAGACCTACTTTTACCGGGAAATAGTCTCCCTCTCTTCTACACACCCTAACCTGAGCCTCACTATCCTCATAAAAACTCTTTACAGCATTTAATAACTTACCACCTATTCCATATACTTGCAACATCTGCCACATTGCTCCTCTATCCACTCTATCATATGCCTTTTCTAAATCCATAAATGCAATAAAAACTTCCCTACCTTTATCTAAATACTGTTCACATATATGCTTCAATGTAAACACTTGATCTACACATCCCCTACCCACTCTGAAACCTCCTTGCTCATCCGCAATCCTACATTCTGTCTTACCTCTAATTCTTTCAATTATAACCCTACCGTACACTTTTCCTGGTATACACAGTAAGCTTATTCCTCTATAATTTTTACAGTCTCTTTTGTCCCCTTTCCCTTTATATAAAGGGACTATACATGCTCTCCGCCAATCCCTAGGTACCTTCCCCTCTTTCATACATTTACTGAACAAAAGTACCAACCACTCCAACACTATATCCCCCCCTGCTTTTAACATTTCTGTCATGATCCCATCAGTTCCAGCTGCTTTACCCCCTTTCATTTTACGTAATGCCTCACGTACCTCCCCCACACTTACATTCTGCTCTTCTTCACTCCTAAAAGATGGTATACCTCCCTGACCAGTGCATGAAATTACTGCCTCTGTTTCTTCCTTAACATTTAAAAGTTCCTCAAAATATTCTCGCCATCTACCTAATACCTCCATCTCCCCATCTACTAACTCCCCTACTCTGTTTTTAACTGACAAATCCATATTTTCCCTAGGCTTTCTTAACTTGTTTAACTCACTCCAAAATTTTTTCTTATTTTCATTAAAATTTCTTGACAGTGCCTCTCCCACTCTATCATCTGCTCTCCTTTTGCACTCTCTCACCACTCTCTTTACCTTTCTTTTACTCTCCATATATTCTGCTCTTCTTATAACACTTCTGCTTTGTAAAAACCTCTCATAAGCTACCTTTTTCTCTTTTATCACACCCTTTACTTCATCATTCCACCAATCACTCCTCTTTCCTCCTGCACCCACCCTCCTATAACCACAAACTTCTGCCCCACATTCTAATACTGCATTTTTAAAACTATTCCAACCCTCTTCAACCCCCCCATTACTCATCTTTGCACTATCCCACCTTTCTGCCAATAGTCGCTTATATCTCACCCGAACTTCCTCCTCCCTTAGTTTATACACTTTCACCTCCCTCTTACTTGTTGTTGCCACCTTCCTCTTTTCCCATCTACCTCTTACTCTAACTGTAGCTACAACTAAATAAGGATCCGATATATCAGTTGCCCCTCTATAAACATGTACATCCTGGAGCCTACCCATCAACCTTTTATCCACCAATACATAATCTAATAAACTACTTTCATTACGTGCTACATCATACCTTGTATATTTATTTATCCTCTTTTTCATAAAATATGTATTACTTATTACCAAATTTCTTTCTACACATAGCTCAATTAAAGGCTCCCCATTTACATTTACCTCTGGCACCCCAAATTTACCTATATATATATATATACAAATAACCCGCACATAAAAGAGAGAAGCTTACGACGACGTTTCGGTCCGACTTGGACCATTGACAAAGTCACACTAACCAGAGGTGGAGCAGGACGGCTGTATATAGGCAGGAAGAGGTGGTGGTGGTAGTAGTAGTAGTAGTAGTAGTAGTAGTAGTAGTAGTACAAGAGTTGTATATAATACCGACAATATGAAATTAAGACACATGCACAACACCCGGGCATCCCCATCATAGACGTTTCGCCATCCAGCCAGCCAGCAGAGCAGATAATGATAAGTTTGAGATGTCAGGACCAAGGACGAGGAGACTTGATGGGATACTTAGCCATAAATATTTTGGATTTTTTTTTTAACCTCAGGATAGTGGAAAAAACGGAATATGTTGCATGATGTGACGGAGTCAAAGTCCGTGTGCTCTTTCAAGAGTTGTCATTCTAATAAGGTCCAAGAAGCCATGAACCATTATGCTGGCTGTATGCGCGAACAGTATTATGTAGTTTAAGAGGCAGGGCCAGGAGCCAGACCTTACCTCTCCCCCCTCCCCCCACAACACACATTATGCAAGTAAGTTTATTTAGGGACAGATGCACACAAGTACAAGTAGTACTATCATACATAGTGTAAATTACCTAGGATAGCCAATCCACAAGCCCAAATATTTATACTAAATCTCAAGACAAATCATATTACAAAACGCTAATTGAACGTCAAGAGTAAGAACATGAGTCAATAGCAGCAGCAGAAGCGATCAGAGGAGACAGGAGGGACGGAGCACCAATACAAAAGACTCAGACAAGAGAAATGCAAGTTGGACAAACGTCTTTAGCAGCCACTTGAGTACATGCCAGATACACCATGAATTTACACGGGGCAGAGACGAGATGTTTTCACAAGCCATCCTAAAACCGAGAAGTGGCAGCAGGGGCAGTGATAGCCGGAGGAGGAGAGGGAGGAAGAGATGGGATGAAGGGAAGGAGGTGGAGACGCTGGTAAAGGAGTAATAGGCAAGATGAAGGGAAGATGGTGTCGATGTTGATGGCAGCAGAGGTTGTGGCGTTAGAGAAAGTAAAATTAGAAGATAAATTTGCCATTGCAACGGAGAATCAGAACAAGATGTGGAATAAATCTACGTGAAAGAGGAGTGACAGGAAGACTAATTGATGCTAAAAACAATAACTAGATAACTGTTGGTATTTTTATTGTGTAGAGAAAGAAGAGACAGATGCTAAATTTCAGAAACCCCATTAATTACAATCTTTGTAAAATTAAACTCGCTTCTCTTCCATTGAATGAGCACACTACCAACTATACTACAAACAGGTTCGTTAGTTTATTTGGGTTTCAAGTCTATCTACTACATGAGGGTCATTAAAGCTTTAAGTCCTAAAACGGTGATTAAAGTAATCTCTGGGTATTCTACAGTATACACACACATACACACACTTCGGTTTAAAAACACCAAAATACATTTCGGTATACACGGTATACACAGAGGTACAAACTTGTCGGTCTCTATTCCCTTGCTGCGAATGTTTCATACTAATTGAATTACAATATTATTATTGTTATTACTAATAGCCATTCACTGCTATAAACAAAGGTAAGAAAATATGTAGGTATTTGTACACCTGAGCAACACAGCAATTACTAACTTTGTAAGCAGCATTATAGGTTGGTACTTCCCTCAGCTGCAGGTGGTCTGACCTGCTTCCTTGCTGTCTTGATAGGGTTTAAAGTCTATCCACCACACGAGCATTATTAAGGCTGCATGTCACCTGGCCACCACCTGTCACACATTTTAATCCGTAAAACAGAGGTTAAATTAAAATATCGGTGTTTATACAAAGAGAGACACATTTGTCGGTGTTTATACAAAGAGCAATTTAAATATTACACTCATTCTTCTGTGTACTTCCTCTTATATTACATAAAAACTGATTCCTGCAATTTATATACATCTGTCATATAATATATTACTTTATAACGTTTGAAAATGTCTTGTTTTATTATATAAAAATGATTCCTAACTAAAGATTTGTACAACAAACTAATGATCAAGATTAGCCAGTGAGACCACCTGTGGTAGGAGTCACCAGGTCACTAGCAGCTGGCCAGTCATCCACGCCATCTACATGTCAACAACCTCACTAACCTCTCGCCATTTACCCAGGGGGTGAAATATAAGGACACACTAGGCAGTAGTTATTTAAAACAGCCGAGTGTATCTTTTTCTGGAAAGGAAAACAGCTACGTGTATGAACAGTGTGTGTGTGTGTGTGTGTCCTCACCTATTTGTGGTTGCATGGGTCGATTCATAGCTCCTGGCCTCACGTCTTCGCTGCTCTCTCCCTGCTCCATTAGCTTTATCATACATCTTCTTAAAACTATGTATGGATCCTGTCTCCACTACATCACTCTCCAGACTATTCCACTTCCTGACAACTCTGTGACTGAAGAAATACTTCGTAACATTCCTGTGACTCATCTGAATCTTCAACTTCCAGTTGTGAACCCTTGTTGCTGTGTCACATCTCTGAAACATCCTGTCCCTATCCACCCTGTCAATTCCTCTCAGTATTTTGTATGTCATTATCATGTCTCTGTGTGTGCATGTTTTTGTGGGTGTGTGTATGTGTGAGTGCGTGTGTGTATGTGTGTGTGTGTGTGTGTGTGTGTGTGTGCGTGTGCGTGTGCGTGTGTGTGTGTGTGTGTGTGTGTGTGTGTGTGTGTGTGTGTGTGTGTGTGTGTGTGTGTGTGTGTTCATTATTATGTAAAACGTTCATTGATTCACTCTGCCGAGCAATGATTGGAGGAAACTGCTGACTGGGACTAAATAGCAAAAGCCAATTGGGTGGAAGACAGAGTCAGCAAGTTTCCTGATTGGTCGCTGGCGGTCTGCTTCTCTGAGGCTCACTGCTACTCATTATTATTACTATTACTACTACTACTACTACTACTACTGGGAAGCTCTAAACCGGAAAGTCATTCCGAAGTCATTGCCTTGGGAATGCTAGGTAAGAGAGTTTGATCCGAGGAAGGAGAGGACAGCTCCAATTCCTTGGGTCAAGAACCTTTCATCAGCATAAAGGGTTCAGAATTCATTTCTTTGTATTACACTTTTTTGTATCATAAATCCTGTATCACAATTCCTAAAAAAATAATTCCTCTTTCACAATTACTGAACCACAATAACTAACACGATATAAAAAAAATCACAACGTTTAAAAATAAGAGTCAAAATTCAGTTAATTTTAACATGTTAAAAGTCTGAATAATCAACTTCATGCAAATCCAAACAGAGTTTGGAAAAAATCTGAATTATTTAAGATAATTAATGTAATTAGTGGGGCGCTGTGTATAAAAAGAAGGTCGTTAGGTCAGGTTAAACTCCCTTGCGTCTGGTTTTTAACTTGGTGGGTGCTAAAGGGAGTGCTTGAGATTGGCTGAGTTAGGGTAAGGTAAGTTAAGGTGGATTAGGTTAGGTTAGGGTAAGTAAAATTACGGTAGGCTTTTAAGTTACGTTAGGGTAGGGTAATTTAAGTTAGGATTGGAAAAGTTAGGTTGGGATATGTTAGGGTAAATTATGTTAATGAGGATCAGTCTTAGTCGTCTTCCCATTAAGCACAAGGTTATCAGGACCTGATAGGTCTTAGTTCTTACTCCTGTGGAATCAGATAAGGTTCTCAAGACTTGGCAAGGTCTTATTCTTTTTTCCGTGGGACCACACAAGTTTTTCAGGACTTGTTAAGTCATTTTTCTCTTACTGCGGAGCCAGGCAAAGGTCTTATAACCTAGCAAGGAAGGTTCTTCCCCTCGTTGGACCAGACAAGGTTCTCAGAACCTGGTAAGCCACGTTGATCTTCTTGTGAGGTCCTACAGTGCTAGTAGACGAGTCTGGTCTTACATGTATTGTGTCTAGTGCTAATCCTACAAGAATACTGACATGAAATGACGGACTTAAGCCTACAGCTGGTCCACCAGTGTGGTCTTGACGACAGGTCTTGTGTAGTCTTGACGGCAAGTCTAGTGTGGTCTAGATGAACCAGACTATTGTGTCCGACATTCTGTGTTGATTCAGTGTCTTTCCTTCAATCATCTCCAATTGTTTAAGACTTTTATGTGAAATGGAATACTTGACAGTATCCTCGCTTTCCTACTGAAGTCTACCAGCTTAGTCTGACGTTTTCAGTACTACGTAACCTATCATATGTGATGGTATTTGACACGAAACCCATTCTGTGTGAGGGAATATGACAGGGAAACCTTTCTAGTATAATGGAATATGACAAGGATACCCATCCTGTGTGATGTAATATGACAGGGAAATCCATCTTGTGTGATGGAATATGATAGGGAAACCCATCCTGTGTGATGTAATATGATAGGGAAACCCATCGTGTGTGATGTAATATGACAGGGAAACCCATCCTGTGTGATGTAATATGACAGGGTAACCCATCCTGTGTGATGTAATATGACAGGGTAACCCATCCTGTGTGATGTAATATGACAGGGTAACCCATCCTGTGTGATGTAATATGACAGGGTAACCCATCCTGTGTGATGTAATATGACAGGGTAACCCATGGAAAAAAAACATCCTTTGTGATGGAATATAAGAGATAAATAGGTAGCTTTTGTTCTTGCTGTGTAACTATCATATAGAATAGGGCAGCACTTCTGTACATTGCGTCACGGACTAGCTAGGCAGTATCTGAACGTTAAGAATATGCTTAAACACCAGGCAGGTGATCCTTGAGCAGGTCTCAAAGATCACCACCAACAACAACAATAATAACACCAGGCAGGTGATCTTTGAGCATGTCTCAAAGATCACCACCATCAACAACACTAATAACACCAGGCAGGTGATCTTTGAGCAGGTCTCAAAGATCACCACCAACAACAACACTAATAACACCAGGCAGGTGATCTTTGAGCAGGTCTCAAAGATCACCAACAACAACAACACTAATCGGGTAACAACAGACTGCTGATGTATACAATTTTGGTAACGAAGCAAGAGTTAAGAACATTATACCTTACCCTTACCGTCTTGACTCAATATATTTTTTGCCTCTGTTGTAACTTTACAATACAATAAAGTTGTAATAAGAAAATTGAGTATAATTCTGAGGTGTTTTTAGCATATAACAACAGTGTGGTTGATCATGGTGGGAGAGAAGAGGGGGCTAGTGAGTGGATGATAACCACTTCAGGAAGCAATACATTTTAATTTCCTTGCCAAGTAATTATTTCCTAAGCACTTATTAAGGCATAATTGGAAGCACATTGTACACTCTCGAGTTACCCTGTTGTTGTTGTTGTTGTTGTTGTGGTGGTGGTGGTGATGGTGGTGGTGGTAGTGGTGAGGGAGGTAGTTGTGATGGTGGCTGTGTTGTTGATGACGAAAGTGAATAATGATAGCGATGATGGTGACAAATCATGATGATGAGCAAGAGAATAACTGCCGTGGTAACAAGGTCTGGCAGTAATGACCACAGCAAACATTCTTAACAGTGAGGACAATTATTCTGATAGATATGATGATCGTCAGAGTAAGCATTATCTTAGAGGACACATATCTATCTGCTGTTACATACATTCTGTACATCGAAGTAAAGATCATCTTAGAGAACACATATCTATCTGCTGTTACATACATTCTGTACATCGAAGTAAAGATCATCTTAGAGAACACATATCTATCTGCTGTTACATACATTCTGTACATCGAAGTAAAGATCATCTTAGAGGACACATATCTATCTGCTGTTACATACATTCTGTACATCAAAGTAAAGATCATCTTAGAGGATACATCTATCTACTGTTACATACATTCTGTATATCAACATAAGGGTCTGACGGTACAGAATGTACCGTCCGACCCTCATTTTGATGTACAGCAGAGATCACACTAAACCTGTCCTGGGAGATGCTAAAAACCTTTAAGACTTATCCATTTCCGTAAGTTAGAGCTATAAGCTACTAAGTCAAGAAGGAAGAAGACACTAAGTCTGCTCACTGGCTTACAAAAGGGAGGTCACTGTGGCCTTGTGGCACACTCTTAAGACCTAAAATATAACAGTAATTCACAGCTGTAATTATTTTCCTGAGTGGGAAGCACACCAGTGTTTACAAATGCAACGGAATAAACTGTGAAGGTTTATTATCCACTGAATTTTGGCTGAAAACGCATTAGTTTACTTTAGAGATTACCAAGGCAGCTATTATATTGCAAGTATTCTGGGGAAATGGAGAACCGAGAAAGGAAGGAAGAGGAGAGAAGTTGTAACAAAGCAAGGTCACAGAAGAGCTAAAAATAAGGTTACACTGCCAGCAAGTCACTGGGGAAGTGAAATATAGGACACAGTGACCTACTTGCACTGTCTAATGTAGGACTCTCTACCAAGTTTTTTCGAACATAGGATAGGACAACGAACTTTTACGAACGTAGGATAGGAAAACGAAGTTTTACGAACATGAAGCTACGAACTATCAAGAACAAAGTGAAAGTTACCGAAGATAAGACTAAGATTTGACAAAGCTAATTCCTGAGTGCTGGTAAGGTGACAGTACCAGTGATAGTCGGGCTGGTTGTGTGTGGACGACGGAGAGGTCATAGAACAGGAGAGATGGACGGCTGCACAAGCAGCTGGACGGATGGATAGGCTCCCTGGAAGGACATACAAGCAATTGGACGAACGGACAGATAGGTGGGCGAATGGACATGAAATTGGATGAACGGATAGACGGCTGGAGAAACGAAGGCACTACTGAACGGAC